ATATTTTTGTGTTTCGCGAATTGACTTTTTTTTAAATTAGACAAATTAAATAACGTAATGCAAATGAAATGTGATATTTATAATACGAGTATTTTACTGGTATTTATGTGGTCTGTGAATATTACATTAGGTAATATGACGACATTGGCAGTTCAACAGTTTGCACTGTGGACGCTGGAAGAAGAGGTCCCGGACTCGATTCCCAGTAGGACCAATTTGGGAAATGTAGTTTCCTAAATGTGTAAGCACGAATGTAACTAGACGGCTAACCACGAACAAGCCACTACTCTTAATTTTTAGCAGAATGCCAAACGTACAAAATCCTGCCATTCACACTCTATGGACACACAATTGAGACGATTTAAATTTAGCAGACAGGGAGCTCAGTACAGTTGAATATTAATATTAATTGAAAAGTTCTACGTGCCATCGACTGTACGTTTACCAGTAGATACAATTACAACGAGTTACATAAAAGTTAAATAAATCAAGTGGCGTGGACAACTAACCGAGGCTCTAATTACAAATGGTGTCACCGCAATAAATCCTGTAACATTTAATTAAAAATGACTGATTTATTACTGCTCGCTCTGCCGCAGTTTTTATAAAGTGATTTTTTGAAATAAATAAACTGTTCGTTTTTATAAAGTCCGTTGTTGAATTTATGTTACTATTACCCACTTATTTATGCATTCAGAAGGCAAACGGTTAATTATAATAATAACTTAAACTTGAGAGTAATAGATAGAATAGAATAGAATCATTTGTTTCATATCACCAATGTCACAATATTATAATTAAAAATACAATGTCAAGGGATAATATGATCACTAACGCAAAAAATAATAATTAATATAAAATAAAGTAGTATAACTACTGCTACTTGTCTAAATATAAGGAAGTCAACTAAAACTAAACTACATCGGCACTGTAGAATTCGTTATCCAATAAAATGTTTTAGGGCGCTCTGCAGCTATTGTATGAGGCGGGGTAAGGTGCATTCTCAGTAAACGAACGATTATGTCCGTGGACGGGTGTAGCTTCAACATACAACAACAACCTATTTCTTCCCACAGTCGGTAGTAAAACGACAACTACCTGGTAGACTTCTAATGCACTGACACATTTTACCTTACACATGTATGTCCGAAAGCAGATCATTTTCTCATCTGCAACAGGCACGACAAAAGTTCTTGTCGTGTACAAACCATTATCATAATTTCTGTAGCAGACACGTCGAATTTCTTAGCGTGTTCGCCCTTAGTCGGATTTAAAACGTTTTGTTTTGTAAAACTTTTCAGGTCTGTAGAAAGGTGTTCGTAGAACGCGGATCTATTACTCGCGGATTTCTCATTGCGAGTTCGGTGCAGTTGGCAGCGGATTTTAGTTTTCTCGCGTTACACAATGCCACTACCTCTGCCCGTAAGTCGCTCATAAGTGCTCTAGTTTTGACGCGCATAAACTAATATTATCATAAATATATTGTGAGTACGTATCATTATATGATATTTTTTAAAAAGGTGTCAGCAGGACCGACCTTTTTTATACCTATAATAGATCTTAGCGCACGGTTTCGAAGAACCCCACCCCCCAGTGCGCTGCCGAATGATATCAACGAATGAAAATATGCAAAGTACGTTTGCCTCAATACCACATTTGACACAAGAGGTCGCAGTTTCATTAGTGCAATGTTTCATGTCTATTATTTCGCACTACTATGGGTTATTTCCTTTATAGCGCTGTACATTTTGAAGTTTTCCGATTTACAAGGTAACATTTTTGTAGTTGGACAAATAAATAATTTTGCCAAGAAATTATGCGACGAGACAACCTTTTTATATGCATGGTCACGTTACAGGATGGTTTACGCCTAGTCTTTAGATACAGCTGAAGGGTTGTGTGCAGGGATGGGCAAGCGACCGGGTTTTAATCCGGCGCTTCGTGAATCGGGCTGAAACCAATTAACGCCTGAAATCGAGAGCAAAAACTATTTACAACTACATTTTTGTAAATGGAGTTTTGTTCTAATGTAATAATATTATTACAAAATGTTTATTTCTTGCTTACATATTTCGGCTTTCTATTGAACCGATTCCCTTAAAATCGCATTCAAAAATTCTCCTTATCGTATATACACTTCAATCGATTTTCATAAAAAATGGAATCGTAATGTGTATTCCTAATCCCTAGTAGGTAGTAAGTCGGAGTCCACAGGATTGCAAGGTGGGTATTGTGTGAACTTACCTCTTTTTCGTCTAAAAATATTTGTAATTTTTATTGTAATATTTGGTACAGTATTCCGTGTTCACCGTTCTCGCCCACGATTTTGTGTAAAAATCCGTTTAGAACCCGGGAGGGTAGATTGGGTTTTTAACACACTGCCCGTCTCTAGTTATGTGCCATCTAGCTAGAGATGGGTTTTTACCCGATAAATATCCGTCAAAGGATAAATATCCGTTTTTACTGAGTATTTATCCTAAAATATGGATAATTATCTTTTTGTGTTTTTTATAATAAAATTTATTAGAATTATTTTTTTATTAAATCATTACGTACGATTACTTCCCATTTTGACATTGTTTTAAGTAACAATACTGTTTTAGTACCTACATTTTTCGAATCGATAACATCTCACTAACTGCGTGAACATGCTCACGCATGTTTTTACAAAATGTTGCGTTCAAAAGCGAGCATTACAGGCGGTGAGGGAGGTGAGCCGAGCATTCGCTGCGTAACATTCGGTAGCCTCGTTCACCGGCAGCATTCGCCTGTAATGTAACAATCTGTTCAGATTGTAAGGCTGCAACTCCACCAGATATGGTGGAATTTTTTTCAAGTCTTTACTTACGTTAGGTGCCTGCGAGTGCCCGCACTCGCCTTTGAGTGACTTTGAGTGTTTCTGAGTGGTTTTTGAGTACCTTTGGGTAGAAGCGCTTGCAGGCTTTCAAAGGCACGCGCTGGCACTCAAAGGCACTCGCGGGTACTCAAACGCACTCAATGGCACTCAAGGGCACTCTGATACTCGCGGGCACTAAAATACTCGCGGGCACTAAAAAACACTCAGAGGTACTCAAGACGCTCAAAGGAACTCGCGGGCACCCCGCGAAAGCCACGAGTGCACTCGCGGGCACTCCTGGCTTTCGCGGGCACTCAAAGGTACTCGTGGGCATTTAAAGGCTCTGCTGGCTCTCGCGGGCACTCAATGGCACTCGCGGGCACTAAAAGGCACTCGCGGGCTCTCCTGGCTCTCGCGGGCTCTCATAGGCAGTCGCACGCACGCCTTGCTACCTCGCGCATCTCTGGTGGAATCGCAGCCTAATCGATGGTTAAATGTTACATTACATGCGAAGGTTCTGGAAGGTGAGGGAGCGCCCTTATTCTATGTACGAAAGTGAACAAATGTCCAAAAACGGACAAACTTAGTAAATTGAAAAAAAATCCGTACAAAATGTTAGACAGCTGATTTATATTGTGTGCAGACAATTTTTTTTAACAAACTACGCATTTAAATAATAATAAGGTTCACGCAAAAATACAGGGATTTACGATACTTAACAGGATTATTTTTATCACTGCATACAGAATAAAGGTATAACAAGCAATATACTACACGTACATGCTACTAAATTGTATCAATGTTCACAATTAAGCTTAAAAATATATAGGAAATGAAACTATTTTTCCGGATCTAAATCGCGTATATTTGTTTTTTCAAACAAATCAAAAACCAAACCAAAAAAAACAAATATACGCGATTTAAATCCGGAATAATAGTTTCATTTCCTATGTGTGGCTGTGTGCATTGTTGCATTGTTTGGGACGCAGATTTGGGATATGGATGGTGCTGCATGACGTTGTTTTTAGTTTCGTTGTTGTACCTATAATTGTATCAGTTTTCCGGTTACCGTTATGTTTTGTTTAAAGTATATTTTGGGGACTATAGGCTTAGATATTGTTAATTTTTAATGTGTATATTTTTCTCACATGTGTAACCGTTTGTCCCTCAATAAAAAAAATAACTTGAAGCTCACGGTTTGTGAGAGGTTCGTAAAATTACAGTTTCAATATTAGACGGGTTCTCATAAAAAAGGTCAGGAGTTTACTATAAGCTTGTTTTTAAAGATTATATTTATAAAATTATATTTATGAAAATTATATTTATGTCTTGTGAAATCATAAGAGTGGGACATAGAGTTTCTCCTTTAATTTTAAAAAGTTATATCTCGACACTTTCGACGTAATGTACTCTAAACTACAATAACAAGTAAATATTATTTTTTTTGTATACTTAAATTTAGTTTTAGCAATAAAGTTATACAGCTTGAGAAATAATGAATAGAGATATATAAAGTTGTATTGCAATCCCTCGAGAAACGCAGTTACTATGCCAATTTTAGTTTTCAAATTCTTTACATTATTAGGTGTCGATCTTATTTTTTATTATATTATTTGAATATAACAAAAAAAAGAAATTAAAAAAAAATAAAACATATCAATGCTGTTGTAAATAACTTTAATTCAATTCATTTCAAGTACATATACACTGTAAAAATAGTCTCTTTGGCATGAAATAGCAACAGAACTTACGTACCTATACCCACATATACGAACACTTAATTATACTAATTTATCATGTAAATCATTGACTTACAAATAAATGGACGACGGGTCTAATACAAAAACCACGAAAAAAATGTCCCAAGTCAACCTATTCGAAATTTAAATTGTAATGTCATCGCAGTATCGCGCTGTCCGTAGAACAAATGAAGACTAAAGCGGAGTGTCGCGCTCTGTATACGATTTTAGCGCCTTACAAGTGCGGACACTTTTTAGCGCGGACCCGACGTCCATATAATTGTAAGTCAATGATGTAAATAGATAGAATTAAGTAAATAAATAACTACAATATGACTATTGGTTAATTCATCTTGTAGAACCTATTGATTGTAAGGCACATTAAATAAGGTACTTTATCGATTATTTATACTTTCTAAAATAAATGCAAATATTTACATTATGGTACGTAATAGACAAGGTAATTGAATGCTAATTTCTTTATTAACAAATGCTTAATAATGTTACGCAATTGTATGGTAAAATTATGTTTGGAAACTGTATACAAAAGATCCAATTATTAATTGAAATAACAAGATTTTATTTCCGTCCTCGAAATTATATCGCCGATTTCGACAAAATTGAAATTTTACGTTGATTGTATTTATTAGTTATTCCGTCTAGAAATCGGAATTCAATATATTTTTACACAGAGGAATGTTTTCCGGTTATGATTCCTGTTTCTTTATTGTATTCGAATTCTTTGTGACCATTGTCTCTTTTCAATGTATCATTCTCTCCGTTGTTGTCCTTTAGCAGACCTTTTTTGTCTCTGAAATGTTAAGTAATTACTTAATATGTGTTTAATTTTTTTTATGATTGCCAAGTAAGGTTCAATTTATATAGCGGTGGAACAGAATGGAAGCGAACATCGCATTCCGCGAAAGATTTTGGCTCGTATCTAGTTTACATATTACTGTTTGGCGACAGAAACAGATAAGTAAGGTGGCTGTAGTTCCCTGAACTAACTCTTTCATAAGGAGCTTTGCTGTTACACTATTAATATGCTTATTTCAGAATTAATACGATAATTTCACAATGGAATTAGTCAGTTGTGTTTTACCCGCTCATAGAACTCAACAGTAATAATAATGATAATAATAATGTATTTATTTCTCTCCACAAACATAACAACTGAACATGGACAAAAGAAAGATAGACAAAAATAGTGTTTATATTATGTTTGCAAAAGACTGGTACCTAAACTAAGCATAAGCTTGTAATATAGGATACCAGGTCTCTCACCACAGACAACTTACACTTTCTCTTAATACTATGATTGCAGAGGTTAAAATTAAGTTTAAGATTAAGGTTATACAATAGTGAAAAAGAAAACCAAATTTAAATATGTGAACTAACTAAACTAACAATACAGTTTGAAAGTTTGTGAACTATGTGTGGTGTGTGAGTGTGGTGTGCGTGTGTGCGTGCGTGCGTGCGTGCGTGCGTGCGTGCGTGCGTGCGTGCGTGTGTGTGTGTGGTGAATGATTGTGAGTACAGGGTTTTGTATACTAATAACTTTAGGCTTTAATAATAAGAAGTTCCTCAACTTCATCGTAACTACGTCCTAGCAACCATTTCGTGATTAACGCTCTTGCTTCATGTTTAGTGAGGAGTAAAATGTTTAATTTATGATTAAAAAAATTATAAAGACGACTACCTCTGTAGTAGAAGAATCTTTGCGCAAACGAAGTTCTAGCCCTATTGTGTTCGGAACTAGTAAAGAGTCTTCGATTGGTAGACACAGAAGAATTTCCAGAAGGTACAGTGATTGTGTGTTGACGCATTAAAGTCAGAAGCAGGTACAGTTGCCGTACAGATAGTACGTTCGCTTCCGGATATAGTTGCGATGTGGCAAAAAGTCGGGGTTTTAGGAGTGCAACCTTCAGCAAACATCTTTGTGCTCGTTTCAATATTATTAGATTGTTTTTAGTAGTTCCCCTCCAAGACGTAATGCAATAGGTAATTACTGATTGTACTAGCGCTCGATACACATTCCGCAAAGTTTTGCTGTCAGTGACTTGTCTACTAAGGTGTTTAAAAATGTTTCCGAATTCTTTGAGATGTAAATAGAAAGAGAGAGATTGTTATCAATAGTGATCCCAAGATAGCGTATGGTTTGTGTTTTGTCAATACTTTTACAGTTGCAGGCAGTAGTTGGGGGAAATGAGCATGTATGGACATATTGTTGTGGTTTAAATAAGAAGAAGACTTGGTGTTACGAATATAAAAAAATATATATTTCGTTTTATCTACATTGAGCGTTAGAGAGTTTGCTGCTAGCCAGTGACTGACTACATTTAAACCTTGTTGGGCAGATGCGAACACACTATCCCAGGAGTCACCATAGAATGTAAGTGTTGTGTCATCCGCATAAGCAATTATTTTACAATTTGGTAGTTGGAGTTTACATATCTCATTTACATAGCATAAAAAGAGGTTTGGGCCAACAATACTACCTTGCGGGACACCATGTGTAATAGGGAGCTCATCACTAAGGTAGTCACCATGTTTGACACGCAGAGTTCGATTTGTCAAGTATTCCGTCAATAATTTTAACGGTGTTCCTCTAATGCCATTCTTTTCCAGCTTCCCTATCAGTTTGGAATTGAGACCGTACCGAAGGCCTTTGCAAGGTCAATAAATATAGTAATACACTTCTTGCCACTGTCAAGCTTTTTAACTAAGAAATCTGTAAAATCATGAACCGCATCATCCGCAGATATGTTTTTCCTAAAGCCATATTGAGCCTTCGCAAGAATGTTTTTGGTTTCAAGGTAGTTGACAAGTCTGTTATTGATAACACGCTCAAAGATTTTAGACAAGGAAGTAGGTATGGAGATGGGTCTATAGTTATTGGCCACGCTTCTATCCCCGGTCTTGTAAATCGGATGAACAATGGATTTTTTGAAGGCATCGGGAAAAGTAAAAACAGTGGTGGAAATGTTCTCATTAGTTCCATGCAGTAGTGCGTATTTGATATTATTTTGAAATAGGATGCGAAAATTGCTTCTATTTTCTTATAAAAATACACTCATGGAGATATTTATAAGAACACTAACAAAGAAGGTTGAATTATGATAATAATGTTCACATGAACCACTCACATACATGTACCCAACAGAACGTTTAATTTGAAACAAGGTCGATTTCAGTCGTTTTTTGATTGCGAATAAAGCTAGGGTTTAGGTGGCCAGTGTTTCATGATAACGTTTTTGTCATAATTAAACCTTTTTTAGCGTTCTTCTACAAATGTGTCCATGAGTATAGTTTTAGTAAAACTTTGGGAACCGGTTGGAAGAAATGAAATAAAACAAAAGCAGACAAGCACTCTCAAGCATGCGTACAAAACCACTATAAGCGCACACAAAAATGAGTATCCTTCGATACAAAAATACTAACAATTATTTAGCATAAAAAAATCAGGGACAGTCAATTGTATTGTTCTTTGATCGTACACGGTTAAAATAAATACCTACAAAAACGTAATAACTTACAGAAACAAATCATACCCCAAGAGAAGGTCTTTTTTTTTGACATTTAGGAATTCTATTTTTCCCATTGAAGCGTTCTTCATCTAGCAATTTACAATTTCTACAGTTAATCTTCTAATAAATAAACCATGTTTGAACCTACTTATGTATCATATTATGTTTTTGATTATATCATAAAATCTTGACTTGCTAATTAGATTCAATTTATTTACATTTGCTGTAAATCCTGATAAAACGTTTAGACACCTTTTTGCAGTAATATGGTCCGCACTAAGTTCAGCAAAGTTATTCTCAGGCTTTGATTAATGGCAAAATTAATTTAGGAAATATAGTGTGAATATATTTTAAGGTAGTGTGCCCTGGGAGTTAATTATGTTACCGTGGTATAGAGATTTCAGATAAGACAATCTGAGACTAGGATATGATTACCCTATGGAATATTTTCAGGTATAACTATTTCATATTAACTAAAGTAACGGATAACTCACGTATTTAAGTCGGATTTTTGCTCAACATGTTTGCGGCACTGAGTGGTCGGGCTCCCAGGGCTTTGGCGGGCAGCTTCCCTCGAGTCACCGCCGCGGAATGTCATGATTAAGGACCACGAATTGGCTCGAAACATGTCGAGCAAAAATTTGCAATAACGGATACGTTATTTTAGTTAATATGTCTGAGTCTCACGGCAGTTTTGTTTAATATAATTATTTCAATTTTTGTAAAACCAAAGTTAGACATGACCAAATCCTTTATCTTTCGATCGTGTATCTCAGGGGGGTTAGGTTTAGGTATTGCATCATAAATTAAAAGACATTTTGTCTTAAGACGCAGATTGCTTATACTCAATGTAGATATTATTGTTATAATTAGAGCATCTAAAGTATCTTCGTATTACACATACTAACACCAAGAAACTCACCTGGTTGTCAACCCATCTTCCTTTCTATTCTTATTTTTCTTCTGACAACATGAAGCGATGATACCTTTCTTCAGAGTGAAAAATAACAACAGATCCAGTAGCAGTATGCATAGTATTATCAGCATTACTGAAATCCCTATTATAACTCCTGCTGTTAAAAACGACTCTTTCTGTACATCTGTTTCTTCCGAGTCTTAAAAATAAAAACACAGCTATCGAAATTACATGTAATTTGGAAACAAAAAATTAAAATACTGATTTTACACACCTATTTTTACACCTACTTTTATGATGACAAAATTAACAATAAATATTTATAATATATTGCTATTATTTGCAAAATGTAGACAGTAATTAATCGTAAGAAATAAGTATTAATATGTATAATAATAAGTATTTGTTTGGCCAAAAACAAAATGGAAAACATTTACAAAAATAAAAATCAAACTTTAATTTTAACTTTATTGGCTATCAACATAGCATAATGGAATAGATGAACATTTACAATCTTTTGACATTTCAGTATTTTCCTTTTATAAAATACAGATCTAAGGGTCGTATTTCAGAACTCTATTCAATACTCAAGTCAGGACTTGTGAATTGCAGTGAGCTCTGAAAATCATGCTCAAGGCCTTGCCATTAGGGTCGTATTTCCAGTGCTTGAAATCATACTCCAGTCTGCTCAAATCCTGACTTGAGCATTGAGTAGAGTTCTGGAGTACGAGCGTAAGTGTCGTTTGCTGGTCGTTTCGTTACCAAAGTTGTATCCATTCAAAGAATTTTGTAAAGACCGAAACAAGTAAAAACCTGGAGGGGCTAACTCGGATGAACTAAGTAGATACCGTAACACATCCCAACCTATACTCTTGCCAAATTCGATGTAGAATGTATAATAACAAAACAATTATTATGCAACCAACAATGGCATAGGAAAAGATCATTTCAGTACTCGCCTAATTGGAATTTAAATAGGTAACTGGGTTATGTAAAAATAATACGCACCTGGCCAATTATTATAAAGTTTACAAAATACGCATTGATACGTACGATTTATGAATAAAGTAGCTTCTTTACCCTATTAATATTTACTGCTAGGTAATGGTAGATGAAAAGAAACAAAATTGTAAGATTTTATTTTCTATACATATTGCATCCAGTAAGTGACGCGACGAATAAGTCGTGCGCCTGGTGGTAAGCGACACGCCTGTCCATAGCAGTTGCAGTGCAACTCAGAACTTTGAATCGCAAAAACCGCACGGACTTGTTAGCCAACTCGTTATTATTTTTAAAGGTCGATCTATCTTTGGCCGTAATACAGAGCAGAATGACCCCCGCCTAGAAAATAACTTTTTTACAAGTGTTGTAAATTCTTGTCGTAGTTAAGTTTTTAGGCGTTTCAATGAATCCATATTTATTGTGTTACGATTGTTGTATGTTGATATTTTCGCGGTAGTATATTCTATGGATTATAAGTAATTTTCAGAAAACGCAAAATACTTTTATGATGGTCAATTTATGAATATAAATATATATACATAACTATGCATCTGTATTCATGACAAACCTAGAGATTGGTTTTAAGTTACCAATCTGATGATAAATGTTTTTTATTTAGATTTTGTATAAATAAAGGATCGAAAATGGCAACAGTAAGAAGAGTTTTCCCTACTTCTTCTTTCCTACTTTTAGCTGTATTTACAATTACGTCGCAATCCATGCAAGAACCGGATAAAAATATATATTAACCCCAACTTACATATTTATTTATTTTTGTAAGATAATTCTAATTCTAATAGTGATGCTCCTTCTTACCTAGTACGGTTACTTTGATAATAGTGGCTTCGGAATTTCCCAATGCATTATGAGCTTCCAATTTTGCCAAATATGTGGTATTTGGCTTTAAATTGAAATAATCTAATTTGACTTCCGTTGTTGGTTCCACCTCTTTGTCTAGGCATTGCCTTGCATGTTCCTCAGTCTGAAACATGTGTTACAAGCATTTTCAATAAAAGCCGATAGTCATGATGGTCGTGACAATGAACCGGTCAAGGGTCCAAGTGTTTGAAAATAAAAGAAATATATGTAGTTTAGATCCGAAAAATTATATTTTTTTCCAATGTGTAGCAATCGTGAAAACCTAAGAATTCCACAATTTCAACATAATTTAATTGGGTTAGGTACTGTTAATTTTCCTTTCTAGGCGCTCAGACTTGGTCTTTGACAAAAGCCCACAAGTTCAAACTTGGGGTTTGCCAGTGGTTATATTATTATTAAGGACCATAAATGATTCATCAATTTCAACTAATTTTGGTAGCAGTAGAGCTCCTTGTGAAAGGGTTCCTCCAGGGAAGCACTGCCACTTTATCTATTTCTGCCGCAAAACAGTAATGTCACCATTACTGTGTTCCAGTTTTGGAGGGTAAGGGTGCGGTTGAAATTACAGGCACATGGGACTTGTCAACTTATGTCTCAGGGTGACAGGCGCAGCGGCAGTGCCCCTCAGATCTTTGCGACTTAAAGTTCTGAGTGGCACTGCAACTTTTAGGGACAGGCGTGTAGCTTATCAGGCACACGACTTGTTCGTCCCGTCACTTGATGTTATAAAAAAAAATACAAGTTGTTAATTAAATTTTTATTGAATTTGTATTCAATTATTTTTTTTTTTGTGAAATTACTCCACTAGTTTGTTATAATTATTAATACAAAGATCGAACACTCAGAAAAAACACTCAGAAAAAATTCCTTCGATCCGGTCGGATACAAGTTGTTAGTTTTCTTTTTATGATACCATGTGACGGGTTAAGCGACACATGTCCCTACTACGGCATATATCAGTTGCATTGCCACTCGGAGCTATAAATCGCAAAGATCTGAGGGATACTGCCATTGCGCCTGTCGCCCTGAGACATAAGTTCACAAGACTCATATACTTGTAATTTCACCAGGACTTTTACCCTTAAAAACCGCTACGCATCGTTAAAATTACTTCCCTGGACGAACTCTTTCACAAGGAGATCTACTGTCACTAAGCTACTTGTTATGTACATTAATTACATAATAGTTTGATATACATTTCGAAGTTAGGAGATCGATCAGAGTCAATATCATGACAGAATCCAAAAATCTAAATAATCATTCTTTTCCGCGTCATTTTTTTTGGACTGTTAAATACAATTTTCCTTACCAGACAAATCATAACTCTATAAAACGTAACAGGAGAACCATTATCCTTAGCAGGTTGCAACTTCAGCACTTTTTGGTTGGCTGGAATTTCTATGTAATTCGCGTTTGCTTCCAGCTTCAATTGCTCTGGTACTGACCTGAAAATTCAAAGGAGCTCCAATATACTTTCGTGTACGTGTCGGACAGGTTGCGAAAAATATAGTACCACTCGTGTCCGTTGATAACAAGGAAGATGGCTAAACGATAACTTTAGGATGTTATATTATAGTGTGTATAGTCTGTCTGTATCTGTTATATAAATACATAAGATACAGCTACAGTCATTGTAAATCCTGTCTAACAACGATCTAGGCTATGTCAGTTAACTATTGTCGACTATTCCTATTATTCTAAAAGAGAACTTACTTATTAGGTGTATCAAAGGTCACACTGTCACTGTACTCCCCGTATCCCACTTCATTTTGTGCTGCAAATTTTATAGTATACGAATTGCCGGGCTGCAGATTGGTTAATGTATATTTTTCAACATTAGCCCAAGTTCTTGTTGGATGTACACTTGTTTCTTCATACGCGGATGTTAGATCATATTCTGCTACATAACCGGTTAACCTAGGTCCTGGTTGGTAATGATCTTCTATGACAAAAGTGACTGACGTTGCTGTTATGTCTGTTAGTGTAACCTGTTGGAAATATTGCAATGTCTGTTTCTTTAAAAATACCAAGTGACGGGACGAACAAGTCGTAAGCGGCACGCCTGGCCATAACAGTTGCAGTGTCACTCAATACTTTAAATCACAATGCCGCAAATTCAGAACGGTGGTACATTTAGCGGGGCGTTCAAGGTTTCGTTGTAGTCAAACGTGTGTCTTGTGTTGTATATACATATACATACATATATACATCCAATACAAGATACAATATACGCCCAAGCCTTGCACGCCCCGCTGAATACACCGCCGTTGCGCATTTGTGGCCTGAGACATAACTTGACAAGTCCCATGTGTATGTAATTTTACCATCACCCTTCACAATTCAAAGGCAGTACTGCTCCTATTACTGGTTGGATATGGAATAAATAAGCATTAGAAACTAGAAAAGTTATATTCTGTTTGCAGTCTACATTTGAAGTGGTAATTATTCTAATAGCTAGATAATAACACCAACACCTGACTACTATCACTTTGGTGAAATTACAGGCACATGGGACTTGTCAACTGTGTTCATGACAGATGCAGTGTCAGTGGCACCGCAAGTCTTATGGACAGGTGTGTAGCTTACTACTTGTTCGTCTCGTCACTTGATATTACATAAAAAAACTTTCAATTTATACGTAGTCCCACTGCTGGGCACGTGCCTCCTCTCAGGCGACGGTTTACGTCATACTCCGCCACACTGGTCTGTGTGGCGGAGTATGTGTGTGAGTATGAATGTGGGTTAGGGTCTTCATACGTTTTTCGAGGGTTGCGAACCTTCTTCGAAAGTTACATCACGATGTTGTCTTCACCGAAAAGCTCATAAGTAAATTTCAAATTAAATTTTGCACATGTATTCAAACCCACGGTCTCTACTTGAGAGTCGGTAAGTCTAACCATTAGGCTACCACGGCTTTTTTACCACTAATTATACATACCTTTTTTTTGTCAAATTTCGGTGGTACAAATCCTGCTTTGACTTTAAATGTTTTCTTTGCATGTCCCAAAGAGTTATTAGCCGTGCATTCATAAGTTCCTAAATGAACATTGTCAGTAATGTTCAAGGCCAGCTCCTTGTAGCTATTCACGTACGCCAAAAACTCACTACTTTCTTTTCCGTAGATTTCTCCTAGATACCTATTCAAATAAGCAGTAAGTATGATAATTACAAAGTGTTTTAACTATGTCAAATTTATTTATTGAGATTTTTTTGTGAAATCGCGCAACAGTCTTCGTTTGTTCGACTGACGGCGCGGTTGTCAATCATGCAGTACTATATGTATAATAATAACTTGTAAAAATTACTGCAGTACAGTGTAAAAACAGAATTTTGTATCATATTTTCACTAAAAGAATATATTGTATTTTTATAGTTATCATTTAAAAGTGTTATTTTGTACAGTTTTATAGTATTTAATTTATATATAAATGAATCGTAAATATAAATGACAAGAGCACACAAAATAATCAAATAGCTAACTGTCCTTTTTCTACACATTGCATGCGCAAAAGATGGAAAAAGACCCATCACGTCAGTTTCAAGAAACTTATATAAACTTCTTGGTCATTTTCAATTGTTCCACCACACCACAAGCGATTGAAATATTTAGAACAGAGAAACTATAGAGTCGCTTTGATTTTAATATTATTTTTAAAATGATTTTTTTTATTAAACGTTAGCATTAAGTAACAAAATATTGATGTACTCGTTTTACGGCCTGGGATTAACTATCAGAAGTCAGAAATTACATTTGCCCGAAATAACATTAGCTCGAATTTTCATAACGTCAAATGTATTTTTTTAGGAAGATTACTAAACAAAAGCTAATAATTTTGGCTTTGTGAAAAGCATCAAAATTACTCGAAAGCGTAACGGTTTTATAACAAATCAATTTTCAGAATTACGGATATTTGAGTTTACATTTAGTTGGAATATCGGTACATTTCTTATAGTACACGCTTATTTTTACATTTGTAGTAATATTTGTATGTATGTATCTGCCCAACTCTTTATTATAATCCTTAAGTGAATTTGTACAAAGTCGACATAATGATATAGATAAAAATTAATTAATATTTACGAGAAAGGCTACTCGATTACTCTTATGTTCAAGTATTATTCAGTCGAAGCTATTTTGTTAAGTTTCCAGTAGAAGCTGAATATGGTGTTTTTGAGCCCTTAAATTGTTGCAAGGAAAATTAAACAGCACTGCAATGACTTTACAATTTAAATTAAATGTTTTAGTATTTTATATTTCGTTACATGTCACTACGTTTGTATAGGTTAACTTTGGACATTTTTTTCGTGGTTTTTGTAATAGACCCGATGTACATTTATTGGTAGGCCAATGGTCGACCCGACGGGACTTGAACCCACCCATACTGCACCATAGCATTGCTCTTACCAACTGAGCCACGGGTCCAGTTAGGTACCGAGCAGTCGAAATTCTCTTATGTGTTTTTGTTATAGATCATTTTACTGGCTTTCGGCATTCGTCGCCGCTAATGACATTTAGTGAGAGAAATTTGAATAACCTTCTCGCCGCAGCCATTACCTTTACAGGTATCAGGATATTTTAATTATCTATAACAAAATATGAATAAGAAATAAAAACTTAAACCGCACTACGGGACAAGAAAACTTTCGCATTCCAACAATAAAACACGAATGACATCTATGACACGACAAAATGGCGGCACAAAAAATGTTTTTGATCCCGATCGTGTTACCATACCATTGTCATAAAATTATTTACGACCTTATAGTCTTTATTATTATTATTTTATAAGACTAAGTGATGGGGCGAACAAGTCGCCAGCTTGGTCACACGCCTCTCCATAACAGTTGCAGTACCACTCAATGCTTTAAATTACAAAGGTCTGAAAGGACTGTCACTGCGCTCGTCACCCTGTCATTACTATGTAGACAAGTTTCATATGTCTATAATTTCACCAATTCACATCACTGCTTGGCGGTAGAAATAGCTAAGGTAGCAGTTTACCAGTTTAACAGTTTATTAGACCGTTGGTTTCACCAGAGTTGAAAGAGTTGTCTTTCACAAGGAGCTCTACTGGTGTTAAGAATTGTTCCAAGTTTTATCTGATTACTGCTTAAAAGTTTATTATTGTCAAAAATAAGAAACTATCATTTATAGCGTATTTTTTTGCTTGGTTATGCGCTTTGTTTACATTTTGGACATCTAATTATGATTTATACTTAAACTTAATTGCCAAGAACGACTCGAATAGTATAAATCACGTATTTGTTATTTCTAATAATGCTATGGTATCCCTTGCCCATCTTACCTCCACGATACATCCGATTCTGGTTTACTGTCGTAGTCGCAATTAAGAATGACTTCTTTTCCAATCCAACTGTAAATGATTTCTTCGGACTTCAAAAAACTTGGTCGATACAGAACACTCAACTCTATTGTTTGATATTCGAAATCAACTGTAATTTAAAAAAATATGTTTATTGGAAACTTTTAGAGTAAATACTGGAGACAGGCAATGGCGTCTTTCTGTAAGGTAATTGCAGCTATTGAAAAATAAAGTGAATTTTTTTATGAAAAATAATTGCGCATTTGATCTCCATCTCACCTGATGGAAAGCAACGATGAGGTCGACGATGGTGCATGCACACCTAAATAATACCTATTCTTTTCAAATTCAATTGAATTTAGCCGTTCGCCAGATAAATGAACATCTCTTGTTCTGTGGAAGCGAATCCTTGGAATATCCACAACATGGGGCTGGAATCTCAGCCTACGAGTAGTCCCCCGATGATGGAAAGGGGAAGGCGGAATTAAATCGTGTAATTCCCTCGCACACTCTCCGTGATATATCCTTTAATTTGGGTTGCGGTTTAATGCTCTGACCATTCATAGGCGGTAGCGAGAGCGTTTCGAGACCGGAAATTTTTGTAATGTTCGAGTTCTTACGTACCCAGCTACATTGAAACCGGGTGGCGGGGTGGCGCAGGCCGGGGCCGAACGCAATGACAACAGGCGCTGGCCGGGTCCGGGGCGACCGCGGGGCGTATGCGGGTGCAAAGCTGTATTCCCTGGAGTTCTTTGCAAACCTCCACATAGAGCGGCAGCGGCACCGGGCGAAGCACGATCCGGGAGCGGGGCTTTAGCGGGAGTGCATGTCGTATTTTTTTACAACTGTTGAGTGTGTTTTCAATAATAAGTTCAGTATGAATTCGACCGAATTTTCTTTTGGGTTGCTTCCGTAACGCGAATAAAAGCAAATTGTTTTTCTTGAACATTATTCGACGGCGACTTTGTGCCTTCTTTAAATGTAAGTAGAAAATGATCCGTGGTTTCTTTTTTAATAAAAAATAAGTATTTATTTACGTAAGATGAGATGGCTCACCTGATGAAAACTGATGATAAGGTCGACGATGCAGCATTTATACCTAAAAAATGCCTATTTACTCTCGTCCGGAAAAGGTCCAAGTTATAGCGTTCGCGGAATAAGTCCGCAGGTAGGGAATTCCACTCTCTGGCCGCTCGCCTTAAAAAATTACAGTGCGGTGCACGCTCGGACTCGGACGTGCTCCACTACACAGTAAAAATTATAATAATTTGCGACCCGCGACATGCCACACACGCCATCAACACTATGGATGAGGTCAGCATCGTGCAGATCTGCGAGTCAAACTTCAAAGAAAAAGAGATTTGCAGTGGCTATATAGCGCGTGCTTTTCCGCACTCTCGGCAAAGGCCGAGCAGATGTCATCTCGACGGAGGGATGGAGGAGCGAAGAGTCTCCAAGACATCATTACGCTGTTTAAGGAGACCGACTCAGGCGAAGTGCCTTTATTCGTGGCGAAGGAGCTGCACAAGCTGCCCCATGCCACGTTCGACCATGTCGACGTCATCAGGCTACTGAAGGAACACACGTCCTTAAAAGCAAGCCTTGTTGAAATTCGGTGTAAATTGGAGGCCTCAGATATCGTCATCAGTGATTTACGTGCCCAAGTTGTGTTACTTAGTAGTGCAGCTTCTGTAAGTAGGTAACCCGAGGCCTGCAACGTGAATACTTGTCGCAGGGCGCAAAACGCATCTATCGGCAGTTTTGAGTCGGCTCATATGGATGTGTCACCGACCGCTGCCACCGTTGCCGTGCGCGTTTTACAGCCCCGGCGGAGACGTCACTTGTAAGTACGTTGAACCCTCGACGTGATTACGCTGCTGTTGCCGCTGCTACCCAACCCATTGCTCCACAACCACAACCCAGGCAACCAACGGAGGGGAAGAAGAAAAAGTGGAAACTCATCTCTAGAGCTGTGGCGGCTTAAAAAATGTGAAAAAAAAAGAAGTACACCAGCCGTAACTTTAGTGGCACCGCCCCGATCGGCCATCTATTGCGTCCAGCGGTACCGACGACGTTGCTACACGTGTCACGAGTTCATTACTCCACAAAGTCTGAGGATATTGTGGAGTACATACGAGTAAAAGCCAAAGCTGCCCTGAGAGTCGAGCAGTTGGAGTCACCCCACAAGGCGAATTTTAATTCATTTGCGGTGAATGTACCAACTCAACATCTGTCGACCTTCATAAAGGAGGACTTTTGGCCTAAGATATTTGTAAATCATATTCCGGCATATTCCGGCGTTTCCGCGGACGGCTATCGGACACTCACGTTGCGTCACACGTCGCGGTCCATACGTGTAAATAAATAAATAGTTTTTATCATATTATTATGTATGTTAGTCTATAAGGTACGTGTTTATGGGCCTTTTGTAACCTGAAATAAATAAAATAAAAAAAATAAAAAAATTTGGAAGCTAAACGCTTTGTGCGAAACCTGGGAATATCCACAACATAGGCGTGAAATCCCAGCCCACGTCTACTCCTCCGATGACGGAAAGAGAAAGGCGGAATCAAATTGTGAAATTCCATCGTACACTAGAATACCGATAAGCAGGCAACTTTACGGCGGTTCAAGGCTCTGCGGCTTCGCCTCTACTGATTCCGAGTCACCTATTAAGCCTCTTGACACGCTTGTCGATTGAATCCAAGGTGGCCAGTTAGTATTTAGCAGATCCATCTCATAAGTGGCAGCAGTACTCCATACTCGACACGGAGTAGTGCTTGGTACACCTGAAGCAACTATCCCGATGTGAAGGTGTGTGTAAGTTTCTCGTGCGCGCACAGGACATAATGCTCTTTTCGCATATTCAGGGGAGGTAGGGAGGGTTACTATAATCAAAAGTAACGTAGAAAGATATGGAACTGTCCCGGTGTCAAGTAACGCCTCACCCTGGAAAGGTTACCCAGTTTCCTGGCTGCATTTTCGGCCATGGATTTCTATCTATGTATATTGGGTATCTGCCGAAGTTCAGATTGGACGACAGGTCCATTCCAAATAGCTGGAGACGGTCGGCTATCGGTATGGATATATCAGGAAAAGTCGGAGTCAGGTGAAAGGGACTCCGTTTTGTGCAGAATAAATAGGCCTGCGTTTTGGTAGCGTAAATTTGACAAGATTGGCATCACCCCAATCAGAGACTGTCTTATTTACTGTCTTTACTGTCAAATTCAAACGACTAACCATGGACCTCGACAAGACTGGATTTCTTCTCCACTTGACCTTGCGTTGGTCAAGTACCTGTCCACAACTGTGCTTATGAGTGTTATACGCGTGGGACTGCCATGTGGCACACCCCGGTACGGTTTCGCTTCCCACAGGGCCGCCATAGGACTGATTTTCTCGCTGTACCGCATCTGCGTGGCCTGAGCATTAGTACTTCAAGGTCAGTTGAAATTACTATACTACTTGATGATCTCGGTGGATCAACGGTTTGCACTGTAGACACTGGATAAGGTAGGATCAATTTAGAAAATGCACTTCTGTAATTTGATTCTGCCTCGGTGTTCTACATAGTGACGAGTAGTTAGATGCAGAGAATTCGTGTGGTTATCTGATACACCATTATTATTACTATTATACAAATTAGATCAGATAATGAGTGTCGCGTACGACTAAAACCTACCTTTATTGCTCGCATTACAATAATATAATCCACTGTGGTTTCTTGAAACTTTGTTAATAGTTAAATTGTATTCGGTTTCCATATCGTTGATACTTTGCTCCGAGGATGGTAGTCTGTAAAATGAAATTAAAACTGAAAATTTTAAACGATATTCCTACTGCTACCACTACCATGAGTTCACAATATAATAAAAAAAGTCCGTAGCGAATAGTACATTGTGTATTAAGGGCGCTAAACAAGAAATTGCTAACGAGAGTTTGTTAGAAGCCAGAAACCATCGAGGAAGCTGAAGGTTGAGGGTTTTAATAACTCGAGATTTGTAATTTTTACTGTCCGTGTCACATACAATGTTTTTCATCACATTTGCGAGGAACTAGATATAACGACAAATTTATTTATTTCTTATATGAATAAATATCGCTTCACAACATTAGATAAAATTGCAAATGTTTAGTCTTTTTTGCGTAAGTTTATGCGAAATATATGTTTAGATTTTTCGAGCATAAAAACTTTTTGCTTATGTTGACGTAAATAATTCTTAGTACCATAACGTTATGAAAAAGCCCATGGGCATAATTTTGGATATTACGGTCGACTTTGCCTGCATGTCATAATACTGTTTACGAGCAAGTGTGACGAAAACAAACTTATTAAACCTTGACGCAAAAAGAGGGTAGTTATAAGTTTGAAGTCTTTGTCTGCACATCCGTGTGTCTTTTTATCTGTGGCATCATAGCACTCAAATGGATGAATTGATCTCAAAGCGACTTGTTGTTGTTTTTTAATTAATAACGCACTATGGAAATATGGGTGCTATGAAACACATTCATTCATTATTTTTGATCCAATCTTGGATGCAGGCCTCTTCACTCTTCTTCCACTCTTGCCAATCTTGTGCCCGACTCATCCCAACATTATATGACAACCACAAATCACACCCAAACCAAGAGATAAATAAATGTATCCATTTGAAAGTTAATTTAATTAGAATGGCTCTTAGCTATGTTCGCAGTTAAAATTACTTTCATTATTTTACTATAATCACTATTTTGAACCTCTGACGCAAAAAGAGGGCGTAATGAAACCTTTGGCTGTGTATCTATAGAACTGTTTGTGTGTTTTCTCCAATTGGAGAGGATGTGGGTGTGGGTGTGGGTGGGTGTGGGTTATATTTTTCTGTATCTAATCTCTGATTGGAGAGAACGTGGGTTACATTTTTCTGTATCTAATGGAGCAATACTTGTTTTAGATGTAACTCCACTTATGCCATTCTTCCATAAGGGGTGCGATATTATTATTTCTTTTGTCAAGTGTTATTAATCGCATAAACTAAACCGTATCCGTTTCATCAGAAAAATAATTCTTATCACAAAGATACACTCTCTAATTGCTACAGCATTTCTGTCTTACGTGTTAATTTTTGTAAGATTTAATTACCTCAAATCAGAGTCCACTTTATTTACGATTATACGAGGTCTTGGTCGTCCCGAAGCTTTGCATTGCAGATGTACATTTTCTTTCTCCACAACACTTTCGCTCATAAAATGAGTTATGGTTGGCTTCGTATGCACCTGTATAAATATTACAGTTCTTTTTAATTCTGTTGTACTCTTTGTCGCATTTAGGCTGATTACACACGGCGCCGTAACAACAGTGGCTTTGCCAATTTAATCGCCCTTGCATTTGATTACACACTTTCATATATGCGCCGTGGCGCTGCGGCTATAGCGCTGTCGCTATTGTCTACTAATCTACGATTTCAGTTGATCACTGATATGACTGTCCCGCGGCGGGAAAAAACGCTGCTGCCGCGGCGCCATGTGTAATCAGTCTTTCTCTTTAAGCAGTATTAGGTTAATGTTCGACCTACTGCCTCTTAAGCAGAGGCCGTGGGTTCAAATCCTGCCTCGTACCTCTGAGTTTTTTTGGAATTTATGTGCAAATTTAATTTGAAATATATCATGAGGTTTTCGGCGAAGGAAAACAACGTGATGGAACTTGCACGTCGAAGAGGGTTCACAACCTTCGGAAAATGTGTCAAATCCCTAACCCGCATTAATATGGCGGACTATAGCGTAAACCCTCGCCAGAGAAGTAACTCGTGGTCAGCGGTGGGACGTATGAATGGGTTAATGATAATACTCTTTGTCAAAAATATCGATGAACTGACCATACTATCACAGAATATTTCTATATTAGAGCATCCTTCTCAAGAATTTTTAACCAACTTTGTATGTTGAAATGTAGGTTTTGAAAGCTACATTATGCGATATAATTTCTCCTTCGTTCATTTCGTAAAATAACTGGATATGAAGTGAAATGTCAAGCTATACGGTAAAAAAGAGTTTACAGCGAAGTTCAACAACTGCAAAATATAATTATGTATAAATACATTTACCGGATCAAAAAAATGAGAATTTATAATAGTATTAAGATTCATATTTAAATAAATAAAAATTTGCCATTAAGTAGAAATTAAATTAACATCTTTTAATATCGACGTAGTACACACCTTACACAACCTTTATTAAAAATATCGAAATTAAACAGAATACATTTTTTCGAATTTGTGACAAAGCAGACATAGCTAAAAAAAATTTAATTTTAACATTGGTAAATCAAATTTTAATAAATAATATACACTTTTTTAAATTTAACATTTCGAAATTTACAAGAACGCATAATCTCGACATTTATTATTTATCCTGTATTTAATATTTTATTCTTGTATTCGTTTGAAATTAAAAAAAATAATGAAAAACAGACAGTCGACGTTTTTTTAATATTAATTAGAAAATTATTTTAATTACACTAACATAAAAAAGTAAAATATGCGACAAACTTTTGAAAAAACACTGAATTGTTTTGGGGATTTTACAAGTGTTCCGGGAAATGAGCCGGTGTGTGTGATTTCCGTATTACATAATGCATTTTGTTACCTACTTCTATAGCGATTTGTTTCTTGGTCAAACCAGCTTCATTTTGTGCCGTACATTCATAAACTCCTCGATATTCCTCCGTGACGTTATTTATTATAATTGTATCATAATCCTGAATCCACGTTATGTTATTGCTGTGGGGTATCTGAAAAAGGATGTTGAATGGTTCTTTTGTTTATTTACTGTTTTCGAACTTTGTATCAATTATAACGCGAAACTAGTGAAGTGATTTCACACAAACCATATGAATATTGTGGTAGTAAATCGTTCTATTCAATAAAATAAATAAAGAGGTCTTTATATCTATAAAAAGCCATTAAAACCAAAACAAAAATCTGTAGCAAGCACATAGAGAAATTCGTAGTCTGCTAATTTGTTCCGTAACTCAGTTGCGAGATCGATTGTTCCGGTTTGGCGAAAAGTCGCTGAATCGAGTACGGATCGATAGAAGGAATTTTCTTTGTTTTGTTCAGTCTTTATGTCAATGATCATTCCTTTTCTTTACTTAATTTTTTTTCCTTAAAAAAATATTGCATATTTATAAGCAATCTCACAAATTGTAGAGGTAGTACAATGAACAGAACGCTCAAAATACTTAAGTACTGTAAGTCACTAAAATTTTAGTTATTGTGTCATAAAGGTTGTTAATTTTTTTATTTACTTTCTAAGTAATAAGTCACACCTTAGTGTAATAAGGCTACATCTGTAGAGCTAGCGCGATAATGGCAGTGTCTCGCGCTTTATGTCGCTCTCTCACAAGTCGCGTCCGTTCGTGAGGCCTACTGTAAAATGACGTCTTTTCAGGAGAGCAGTTTAAAGATACTCCGAACGAAATTAGTCACCAACTTTTTTATTTATGTTCGTATTATTTTTATGACATTCATGTTATAAAAGCAATTTTTACTTATGATGACATGTGGCTATATTATACTAAAGGTACGAAATTTAGAAACTCCAATTACCTTTATAAAAGAATATTGTGGTTCGGGATATCCATCTGCATTGCACTTTATAACCAATTTGCTGTTCTCTTCTACAGTGTCACTTGGATGCGCTGTTATATTTTGTATTAAGGGTGAGATTAGTACCTAAATAAAATATTATTATTTCAATTAATTTTGGGTTTCTGGAACTAATCTTGTTTGATTTTTTAAAAAGAAATCATGACGCTTCAGTGCGTTTCATAAGAGGTAAAATTATTTATAGTCAGTAAATGTGAATATATGATGACTGCCGCCATTATAAACAAAAAAGTTACATGAGCGTTAAATTTTTGTCTGTAACTAAAAACAATCACATCACATTGTTGTTCTAAAGTTTGTTTTATAAATTTTTTACCGACTTAAACAAAAGAGGTGCTCAATTTGACTGTATTTTTTTGTGTGTATATTACGCGATTAGTCCGTCATTTGCAAACTGTGTACCTCAGTAGTGGGCGCATTCAAATTATAACAAGATATTCCACATAAAAGAGTGGCAAATTAGGAGATGAATTCAGCTATTGAGTTTCACCCACTTTTTTTCTATAACATCAAGTGACGGTCGAACAAGTTGTGCGCCTAATGGTAAGCTACACGCCTATCCATAACAATTACAGTGCCATTCAGAGCTTTAAATTGCAAAGATGTGAGAGGCACTACCACTGTACCCGTCACACTAAGACATAAGTTAAAATAAATAAATAAATAAATAACGCACACACTCAACATAGCCCCGCACTAGGGAAACCCTGTGTCGCGGGTACCATGGACACACACATAGACAACCACAAATTACACCCAAACTCACGAGAGAAATAATTGTAGGCCATACAACTATTTCTCCCGGCCCGGGAATCGAACCTGGGACCTCTGCGTGGCAGTCCGGCATGGTAACCGTTCAGCCACGGAGGCAGTTAAGATAAGTTGACAAGTCCCATGGGCCTGTAATTTCACCAGCACCCTTTACCCTTCAAAACCGGAACACAGTAATGCTGACGCTGCTTGGCGGCAAAATAGGTAAGGTGGCGGTACTACCCTGGACGAACTGTCAAGGAGCTCCACTGCTATTAAGTTTGATTTCAAAAAACCTTAGCACAGATGTAATTCCAATAACAGTAAAATGTTACGGTATCCAGAGCTGATCTGATGACGGGAATGGTAGACAGACGAGAGGAACTCCTTAACAGTGTACAGCAGTTACCTTGTGTTTGGGCTCATGTTTTGAGGAGGAATTCAATATTAGCGCGTTTGCATACTACATCCGGCATCGAGTATATAACCAGAAATAGAGACGGAATGTCATTTAATTTGTTTGAAAACTATTCTGCCATATCATTACTGTGACAACTGCGCTCCGATTGGCTAGCCCGAGTTCGAAATAATTGACGGGTGTCGTCAATGGGTGTCGTCAACTGTTTCACTTCAAATCGACCAGTTAACTTGAGCTTTTCTATAATGGACGAAAATTGCAAAATTACATATTTAATATTTAATTACCGATGAAATGTGATTCAGTTTGTTTTGTAATTAGATGTATTGCTGTTTTTCCCCCACCACCGGATTGAACAGCACGGCATTGTTAGAGATATTATCTTTATTACCATGAATACAGAATATTTTTTGTAATATGCGGAGACGTACACACAGGTCAGTAGTTGGCCTGTCTATATTTCAGTGTAAACGAGAGTTGATATTTATAAGAGCTGTATCGCCTTTCGTCTTTATTTCTGGTTATATACTCGATGGCATCTGGTTTGTATTCGTGCCGAAACCGAGACTATACAAATCTAGAAAACTCGGACTCTCTTCGGACGTCGCTTCTGCACTAAGTCCGAGAAAATACGAATATTGCTTGTACACACAAGGATAAAATGATTCCAGTGACATTTCGGACCGGATTAGGGACATACGAATCGGACGTAGTGTGTAAACGCTCTTATAGGTTTCAGTTATCGTTAAGGACACCACGATAGCAAACACAACGAAATCGGAGCTAACTCTTTGAGGTCGGTTTTTTAATAAAAAGGTTATAATTTTTTTTCAGGCGCTTCAACGGCCCATTTTTTATCAGCCCAATTCTTAACAGTGACAATTATTTACCTCAGTTGTTATATATTGGTCTATAGTTTCTCCGTTTACAGAACCTGAAGCCGAACAGTTGTATACTCCTCCATCTTCAATTTTTACATTTTTTATCCGTAGACCATTTGATTCCAGTTGATATTTATTATCGTTTGTTATCTGAAACAATTGACATCGTTAGTATTTTTTTTATTATAGAAAGTGACGGACGAACAAGTCGTGTGATTGGATAATTACGCTATGTAACAAATTTTTAAAAAGGTTCTAAATCTGGTTCGTCAGTGCTGATTTCTGTTTAATTGAACAGCAATATTGCACAAATTGCTTTTGTGGCTGTCACAGTAGTATTTACATAGCTAAATAGTGGTATTTACATAATCATACAAAACTACATATTTTTAAGCTCTTTGCCATCAATTTGTAGAATTCAAGTTGATATATAAGATTGATTTGACTTATAACTGAACCGACTTCAAAAAAAGGAGAAGGTCTCAATTCGTCTGAATTTTTTTTATCTATGTTACGCGATAACTCCGGCGGTTTGGACCGATTTAGATTGATTTTTGTTGGAAAGAGGGTACCTCGGTAGTGGTCCCATTTAAATTTGAAGAAAATATTCCACCATCAAGGTAATTCCACGAAGTTTTGAGGTCGGTTCTTTTAGTATTCTGTACTGAAATTATGTTCCCTTTTTATTTTTAAATGATTAGTGGTACACAAATTTCAACTTTTCGTTACCCTGACCACAAAACCAAAGTTTTTGCAAGGAAATAAAGTTTTTTCATATGTTTATGATAGAACCAACTACAAAATGTTATTGATAACCCAGAAACAAAAATCTTGTTACATGGTGTTATTTACTGCTATCAAAGGATCACTATATTGAAAAGACCTATCATCATCTATAATTAAATTGAGTGAGAAGTTACTACACTTGCAGATTTAGTAAAGAAAAGTCTTACCGGATTTTGATTTCTATACCAACTAATGAGAACGGGCTGGTCACCTCTCACTTCGCATGTCAACAAGGAGTCCTGACCTTCTATTAGGTACTGTGTTGTATTTGTATTGAAAAAGTATAATTTTGCTGAAAATAACAATATTAGCATTTCACAATATTATCAATTAATTGGAATGGAGTGGGTCGAGGATGAAAGAATTTCAGCAAAAACCAGTAGCGGACATGCCGGAAATGAACCACAGTCCCGAAGCGGACCAAAAGTGATTCTAAATGTAAGGAAGAAATTTTTGACCTTCTACTTATACGTTAACTATTTTAGAATGTCCATCAGACTGTTCCGTTGCGGGTGAAAGACTTCTCGTGCCTCCCAATCCGATTAATATCGGATTGGGCGACACGAGAATACAATTGATTTATACACATTGAAATTGATAATACACAATTGATTTTATGAACAAGGTCGACAAACTACATAAATGTGCAAAAACGACAAAATTTTAAAGAATTTTAAATTAAAGGTCTCACCATTCACCGAATAAAACTGATTTCGACTCCTCCTACGTAATCTATCGTAAGCCAAAAAAAATAAGTGCATTTTTTCATAAATCACTTTATTTTTTATGTAGGTCTTTTGCACTCGGTAGTAAGATTATAAAGTGTGAAAAATAATGAATATATATAAAAAATAATTGCTATATCTCGATAATCGCAGGTGTTACACTTATTCTAGTCCTTTCAATAAACACGTTAAAACATTCTTCTGTATAACTATAGATTACGTTACGTTAGTTAACCTTCTTCAACATGTATTCTCCGTTACCGTTAAACTAAATTACGAATATATTTAATACTAACCTGGGGCAGAAAGTATATATGTGACAGATACATATCGGCCATCCTTACTTGTGGACACGCACTCGTAAGAGCCTTCAGCAGCTTTGTTGACCGTTATGTATAGATCAAGTTGTCTTCCAGTGCTATCTAGTTCCGTGTGCATTCCCTCCTGGGTACCTGATCTTGTGGAAACATTCATTTATCATTTGTCTTTATAATTAGCTTTACTTTAAAATAGTTAAGGAGTTAAGTTAACACGTCGTTTAAAGGTATTAAGAGAAAGGGATCGATAAATAGGTTGAGAGAGGAAATGTCACATCCAGATAGTAATACGGTGAATTAAAAATCGCCAAGGTATACCCTATTTTAGCGTAAGATTAATGAATTTGTACCCATGCGTCCGATTGCCTTGCCCTCCTTGCGCCATTCCAGATCAGGCTTCGTCTTTGTATTGTCCTGGCATTTACAGTCTATATAAAATGTACTGTCTGCTGGTATTATTTTTTCTATCGTCTGGTTGTAACTGAAGCAGGATAAACTTTCTGTAATGGAAAAAAATTGAAGCTTAGTATTTTTGTGAGTAATTGTTTAATTTTTTAAGTTTGCCTTTGTGGCCGAACGGTTACTACCCTGGTCTGCCACGCAGAGGTCCCAGGTTTGATTCCTGGGCCGGATAAAATATTTGTATGGTCTACATTTATTTCTCTCGTGAATTTGTGGTGTCTATGTGTGTGTTCATGGCACCCGTGATACAGGGTTACCCTAGTGCGGGGCTACGAGTGTATGCGTTATTTATTTATTTACTTTTGATGAAGTTTTCAATGACCTTGCTGAATATCGAGTTCTTAGATTTTTGCACTACATATTGGAAATGAAACTATTTTTGGAATCTAAATCGCGTATAACAGTAAGTTGTGACCATGAGACCGGTAGAGCCCGAAAGACTAGTTAAAAAGTATGTCTTGACGACCTCGGTGGCCCAACGGTTTGCATTGTGGGCACTGGATGGGAGATATTGGTAGGATCAATTTGAGAAATGAACTGTTATAAATTGGTTCTGGTTCGGGTGTTCTGGGAAGTGCTCCAGAGTGAATTCCGTTGCTCTGGTACTCATAGGGAATTCCCTAGTTTGAGACCAGACAATTCTGCCCTCCTGTCATAACTAACTCCTTTGGATTCTGGTAACTTTCCAGATATTAACACCAAAATTTTGGTTAACAATTAATAATTATTATATTTTATTACTATATTAATATTCTATTAATAATAAAAGTTAAACTAAATAAGATGTAAAAAACAGCTTGTAGGGGGTTCTAGATCTCGTTTCTCTGATTTCTGAGTTTTTTTATGATACGTAGTGACGGGACGAATAATTCGTACGCCTGGTGGTAAGCGTCACGCCTGTCCGTAACAATTGCAGGGCCGCTCAAAGGGCACAGCCGATGCCGCTGAGACATAAGTTGAAAGTTCCATGTGCCTGTAATTTCACCACCCTTCCCTTCAAAACCGGAACGTAGTAATGCTCGCATTACTGCTCGGTGGCAGAAACAGGCAACGCAAGGCAAGGCAAAGTATAGGGTAGAACTTGAACTTGTAAGGTTTCTGTGCGCGCACTGGTTATAGTGCCCTTCTCGTACCCCCTAAGGGTCGGTAGGGAGGGTCACTATAATTAAGAAAAATGGGGCTGTTCTAATGCATATAGGAAGCTACATGCAAGTACTGTTAGTAAAAATAATTTTTAATGTAGTTTAAAACCTAAAAAATACAGTTCACTAATTTTATGGTTTATCTACACGCGCCTTTAGAATTATAATGACCTAACTCAAAAAAAAACTATTTTTTGGAAAATGTTGATTAAAGATTGACATGTCCATCAATTTTAAAAAAATGGAGAATATTGAGTTGTATTTAAAAATAATTATAAAACAAAATATTTTATGTTGTATTAATTTGCCTTATTTATCTACACTCTCTTAAATATAGAAAATTTATAAAGTGGTAATTACTATATTAATTTTATTTTTTTTAAATAGTGCAAATGTGGGCTATATTTGTCTGGAACCATGTTCTTTTTTAAAAGACTTGTTAATATTTAGGTCACTCTATTTCTGAATATTAGTGGAACGAAACCATTTATTTCTAAATATGTCACCATATTAGTAACCATTAGAATTAGATTAGAAAAATTTAGAAGTAGATTGCTTCAAGTTACAGTTTTACATTTTAGGACATAAAGAAAACATCATAACACAATGAAAAACTTTTATTGGAAGATTAAACCAAGTCGTAAGAAGTTTGTTAAGGCCATTAATAATAACACAGATGTCGAAAAAATAAGCGAATAACCTAGAAAATTAAATTAAAGGATAATACGTTCTTAATGCTCATCAGTCTTTTCTGAAAGTATTGCTTATTAAAATATATGCCAATTGCTCTACTTTCTTGTCTCTAACATAACAGTATTTACGACAATCGTACGCTTTGAAAGAAGCGGTACGTACTTAAATTATAAGTATTGAATTATAAATCTGCAGAATAACTAGGAACTATGTTTTTATTAATGAGATTGCGTAAATCTTTTTTATGTTCATCTGGTTTGAGCATTTTCTTATGTTAGTTTCTTATAAGTACTAAAATAATCATACACTTTGGATAACATAATAATTAAAGTGTAAAATCAGCCCTAAAAACAAGCGTAAATCTTTTTTTTATGTTCATTTCTTTACGTTATTTCTTCCGGTCTAAGCATTGACTTACAAATAAATGGACGACGGGTCCACAAAAACCACGAAAAAAATGTCCCAAGTCAACCTATTCGAAATTTAAATTGTAATGTCATCGCAGTATCGCGCTGTCAGTAGAACAAATGAAGACTAAAGCGGAGTGTCGCGCTCTGTATACGATTTTAGCGCCTTACAAGTGCGGACACTTTTTAGCGCGGACCCGACGTCCATATAATTGTAAGTCAATGGGTCTAAGCATTTATATTCTTTCGTTTGTTTTTTATATTGACCTTAATAAACTTTGATTCTAGGAAGTTTTTTTAAATTAATGGCAATGTGTATAATCAGGGATTCTATAGAATACATAGTCCTTCTATACACAATAGGGTTTCTTTAAGTAATGTATAATATTTGTTAATACGTTTTAACTATTATACACATTTCTTGAGCATTATATAGAATACCTAGGTATTATATTTAATGCAGGCCGAAGATTTGGCAAAGTATTCAAAGAAAGGCAAAGAACTAAAATTAGTAATTTAAAGAAAAATTATTGTTCCTAAACGTTTAATGGTTGCTTGGGTACAACAATAGAATGAAAATCTTTATATTATATCACATTTAACACGTTGAATTACTGTCAATTAACGAACCACATGGTTTGCAGCCAGAGCCTTGTGCTGATGTTAAAAGTAACACGGTATCTGCGAGATACTATTGCGCTTAGCGATGAGAATAGAAGTAAAATGTTAATTAATAAAAAAATTTTTTATGACATCAGCCGACGGGACGAACAAGTTGTGCGCCTAGTGTTAACTGACACGCTACGCATAACAGGTCCAGTGCTACTCTGAGCTTTAAATCGCAAAGATCTGAGGGGCACTGCAACTGTTATGGACAGTCATTAGGCGTACGACTTGTTCGTCCCGTCACTTGATGTTACATAAAAGAAAAAGTTATAATGTTAGTCTTTAAGTAATGTGTTTCATGGAGCATAGATGCTTGAATTAAAAATAAAACAATTCTTTTTACGATAAATGTGCGTTTGACCTCCATCTCACCTGATGGAGTACCTAACGATGAGGTCGTAATATAAAAAGAAATACAAATTGTATTCGCAATAACATATCGAGTACTTAGGTTTTCACGATTGTTACACAGGAATCGAGTATATTTGTTGTTTCAAACAAACCAACGTTTACACATCCTTTACCGTTACCATGGGACCTGTAAAGCGCCCGAAACCTTGGTTTATTTGAAAAACAAATATACGCGATTTAAATCCCGAAAAATAGTCTCATTCCCTATTTACAATAATTTTTTTTTTTAATTTCATAAAACCCAAAATATACGCTTAACACAATATACCGATAAAACAATCTTAAGTTATCGGTGTTGACATTTGACATTAGTATTCGTAATCCATTTAACGACTTTCGACATAACAAGCCAATAAAGAAAGAAACATTATCCCATGGAGTATTTGGGGAAACCTTACGGAATTAGCTCTTAATCTATAGGAATAAAAGCTTATTCCATAATCTTTTTACAAGAATCGTTTAGCTTTTAAAAATCTCGAGCCGTGTATTTCTTCACTATTCATTATTTACCGTGATTAAGAAGTGAACCAGGTGATAAAATCAAGAAGTTGAGCAGCCTATGTTTACATGTGTAGTAGATAGTACTGTTTTAGTGCGATCGTCAACCTGGTTAACTTAATTATTTTTTATTAGTAGCAAATTACGCGCTGAAGCATCGTGTCGATTTGTGTTGTGATGTTGTTGATAATAACTATAATATTATATGTAAATTTGTATATAAATTTGTTATTTCAAGAGTTACTATGCAGATAGGTCCTTCAAGAAACATATTCCTTAAACAGTTTACAGGAAGTTATGATACATGAAATCTAACAATATAAATTAAAAAAATATTGAAATATTTTTTTTTGTTATTTTTGTATTTTATTTTAACTACATTAAGCATCAGTATGTAACATTTTGTCTGTTTAATAGAGACTCGTTTGGATTCTGCAGTTAAACTGTATAAACATTGTAGCCTTTTTAAATTCTAAAATAAATAAACATAATGCTATTTTGGAACTGATCGTATCCGGAGTCTATCCTTTAGATTAAAATTTAAATACGAGAAGCAACCAGTCCCGGGATCACACGATGCTCGCATTTGGCCTCTTTCGGGTTAACGTATACGTATCGTGTGATACCGGGATATTTAATATTACTGTAATAGTCACAATTAAAAACATTTTAGTCAAATTTATAGACCTCAGGACTTCTTATTATCACAGTTACAACATTATATTTATTTGGTAAAGTATATAAATATGAAGTTGCTAAAGATATAAGCAGTTCAGGTTTATTTCCAAGTTACCGTTAAAATCTAACCACAGTGAATGAACATTAACGAATGCCAGATTCTTAAACTCCTCGACTTTAGTATAAACACTCGCTTCGAAGTCTTCTATGTTCGTGATCATAAAATAAGATTTACAACGCATTTAAAATTTAATAACTGTAAGGCCGAAATGTAGATTAATTAGCTCAACTTGAGATTGTTTACATGTTCCTGTTTCACATGCGTGCAAGTTCATTATGAATGAAATTGAGTTTGCAATCGTTACTTTTACTTCTACGTTCATATAACGAAATAATGGCAGAAAGTATCTACATAACATTCAATAAAACAATAATATACATAGGAAATGAAACTATATATTTTTTTCGGATCTCAATCGCGTTTTCTCAAAACAATGAACTTTTCGGGTCCTTTAAAGGTTCCATGGTCACGAGTTGCTCTAA